AGAATTAAAGCGTGAGGGTGGTTGATCAAGTTCTAGGGAACCTTTGAGTCCTCTGATTCTCTTGGTTTTTGAAATTTTTCTTTTCTTTTGGGTCTGCACACTTATTCAACTCGAGAATCAGTCGAATCGGATAAACTTGAATTCATCCCTTGGAAATTCAAGTCCAACTTGGTGTTATAAAAAAAGAAAATTGTTTCACGCGGGCTGGACCTCATTTCTACAATATGCGGTCCAAAGGTATAAAGCATCCATCTTAAAGTGGGATACAAATAGGTGGTCCATCTAAAAGCAAGTGTAACTAACAGTCCAAATGTTTTTTTAATATAATTATTATTTTTAATTTTCAAATTTTTTTCCATCCATTCATGATCTTTATGTTAAAGATTATATATTATTTAAAAACTAGGATCAAATTATATTTTAAAGATATATGTATTTCCAAACCGCATTTCTACAATATGCACGCTGGTTGCATAGAAACCGTGTCCTATAAAAAAAAGGAAAGTATTGTATGGCCCTCGATTCACAAACCTATCTCGCAAGCAGCCCTTCTACTTTTATCTTTCAAATGGAATTCAATTTTCCCTAAAACTACAACATTCTCCCTCATTCCCTCCATCATCTCTTGTGCTACTTTTTTACATTGGCATCACCCATTATTCTTATCCTATAGTAAGTAAAAATGGGATTGGGATGAGGATATTCTTATGCGGTATAAGAGAAATTGTTGATGTCCAATTTCTTGTTAAAAAAACGAAAAGTGAAGAAAAAGGGAAGGGAAGGGAATATAATGCCTTTTGAAGAAATTTTTTTGAGAGGGGCTAATATGCTAAATGAATTTGAAACTTGGGGTCCATACAATATTTTTTTTTATTTTTTTTTAACACTGTTAAAATTTCTAATTTTCATAAATTCCTAGCTTTAGTTTGGTTTTATCAAGAAACCGAAAAGATAATCTACTCCCTCGGAAGTAGAATGTCTATTTTCTCAATTTGGTAAAACCCCACTTTGAAATAATTTTAGGACCCCAAAATTTGGAGATGTAACCTTTTCAACTTGTATATTAAAATCAATTAAAAAATCCTAATTGCATCTTTTATATCCTTGAAAAAATAATGTTTTGAGATTAAATAGTGACTATCCAATTTTTAGATGGTGAGATCTAAGTGTTAGAAAATTTAAATTTAAATTTTTCTAAGTAGCTCTCAAAATTTAAGATTCTGTCTTTTGTAAGGGAGTGAAAAGCAAACTATGCTCCTGAAGGAGCATAGTATACATGCCAAAAAGAAATGGAAAGTTTAAATTAAAGCAGGATTTATTTAGGTAGCTTCAAATTATGGAGGGTACATTTGGTCATGTAACGTCGCTAAAAAGGTCCGTTAAAGTGGGACGAAAAAGGGGCCTGCTAGAAATGACGGTTTCTTTTGGAGCTCATCAGCTCTCACTCTCTCTTCTTTCTCTCTCTTCGCACTTTGCAGAGACCACACTGAGCAAAGCTGCGTGCTTCTGATAACATCGCCGGTTTCTTCTCCTTGTGCTGCTTCTGGTTACTATTTTGAGATGAAGAAAGATCCCTAATTTCCATATTCTTCTTCTTTCTCCTTACTCTGAGTAGCTTTTGCGTCTCTCCGATGTTTGCCTTCTTCTTTCTCCTCTTCACTGCTTTAATTTACCATGTATTCGCACAAGTGCCTGGTACGCTTCACCTTTTCTTTAATTTTTACTTTCTTTCTTTTTTGTTCTTTTTTTTTTTTCTATTTTTCTTTCTTCTTCTCTTTTTACTGTTTAAATACCTTTGCTGGCTTTTTTTTCTCTTAAGATGGAATCATATAGGCAAATTTGCACTCTTATTCTTCTAATTTGTTAAGGTAGCTTTGTATTTGTTAGTTACGATCTTTTATCTTCTTTTTTGTATGTGTTAGTTGTGAAATGCGAATATTAGGAGATCTTAACTAAGAACTAGTACTAGTGTAAATTATTATTATTATTTGTTGAATATGTTAATTAAAATATTTTATTAATGAAACCGTTGAGAATATAACTTTCTATTAGTTTCTTCAGTTTCTAATTTTTCTCTTCGGAAATTACAGAGATAAGCTACTCAAACTTCATTCAACTAAATGCACTATTTTTATTTCATTTCCATGTTGCTTTATAATAATTTGGCTAGTTTCTTGCTTTTTTGTATCTTAATATTAGCAGCAAGGAAATCTTAGTGAATCCATTTAGGTTAAACTTGGTAAACTGACTACATGTTATTTCATTTTGTCATTCTTTCAATATTTCAAGAATTTGATCGTAATCAATTAACTGCCTTTGCTTCTTACCCTGGTTTGCAGTTGATTTGTTTTCATAGGCATTCCAGTGAATTTCTTGCTGTTTTCTTGATAGTAATTCTCTAGGTAGTCGTAACTTATATTGATTAGACTATATGTTGTGTTTATTCATATTTTATAAGATACTGTGTACTATAAAGAGTTGCAAAATATCTGTTTGTTTTCATTGTTTTAATTCCTGCTGAACATTTTTTAATCTGTGGAGCAGGTTTTTTTAGCATTGACTGTGGGGGTACAGAAAAGTTTTTAGATGAAATTGGTCTGGAGTGGACTCCAGATAAATTAGTATGTGGAAATGCAGCAAATATATCTGTAGGCAGTGAGAATACGAAGCCGTACACCACATTAAGATATTTTCCTGCGGATTCCAGGAAATATTGTTATACATTAAGTGTAGAAGCCAGAAAACGGTACCTTGTAAGGGCATCATTTTTATATGGGAACTTTGACAGAAATGATGTTTACCCAAAGTTTGATATCTCCCTTGGGGCAACTCACTGGTCAACAATTGTTATTTCAGATGCTGATACATTAGAAGTTCGAGAGTTAATTTTCTTGGCTACTTCTCCTTCAATTAGCGTGTGCCTATCTAATGCATCAACTGGACAGCCATTTATTTCTACTCTTGAACTTCGGCAGTTTAATGGTTCTATGTATTATACAGATTTTGAAACTGCATCATATCTTAGTGTGTCTGCAAGAATAAACTTTGGTGCTGTGAATAATGATTCAGTGAGGTAAGTTGACCTTTGAATACCCTTATGAATTACACTTTTTCCATTATAATCAACTTCTTTTCATGAATGATGATTTAGTCAGGCATGCCTTCTTTCTGGAAATCATTATGAAATGTGACTTTTCCATTATAATTACTTTGATGTAGTAAGTAATGCTTGAATCAGATATTCTCACCTATAACAATCATAGTGGAATGTTTATTTTTCATTGCAACTTTCACATTATAGTGCCTTGTGGAAAATCCTTGGATTGCGGGATATAATGGTCATGATGGGGTGAACAGGCGGTAGCCATTATTTGGACCACAGTTTGCACCACAAGCGTTCAAGTTACAGTCATCTATGAGAGTGGTTTATTGGCTTATCAGCCTGGTGGATATGATGTTTATTGATAACGTTTCGAGAAACACAATTATCCAAACAATATGTTGTTCTATGTGCAGTTGTGCACCACATGATCTTGTGGAAATTGGGATTGTTTTTCCTTCTGCACAATATCTAGAGATCTATTACTTACCTGCAAGGTTTGTTTTGAAAGAACCGTGTTCAGATGTACTAGTATTCAATCTAACCAAATTTCTGATTAACTATTTTTTCTGATTCTTTAATCTTTTGAAACTAGTCTAGCAGGTTTGATACCAGAAAAACTGCCACATAAATATGAATGAATTAGTTGTAAACGTACTTGCTATTCTTTTCTTCTCTAATGGCTTCATAGATTTCATAAAAATAATTTGAAACAACATATGGATGAGGTTGATTGCTTTAAATTTATTTCCCTTGTGGAGTCTTTTTTGCCATACACAAAGGAAAAAATAGCAAAATGTATTGAGAGCACAAATCAGGCATGTAATTCCACCGTGTTAACTATTACAAATTTATTTAAGCATGGAAGTTGATAGCTAATGATATAATTCAGATTCTTGATGGCTAATGATATAATTCCGATTCTACTCCTAGTGTCTGATGGAGTAAGTGAGGAGTTTTCTAAGCTTATCAGTCTAGCAGGGAATGGGAACTTACTTGTGCAAAATCTTGAAGCCCAGGAACAATTGACAAGAAAATGATTTGTGTAAAGAAAATGAATAGAAATTATTCTCCATTAATACAAATCTGAGCAACTCTTTTGTGAAAAGGGTTCTTGAGTTATACATGCTATACACATTGACTCGACATTTAGGTGTGCTTTAATCAACTCCAAAGTTGTTTATATGGCAAGAAGGTTCTACTTCATGAGCTCTTAGATGTGGTACTAAATCAACAAAACACATAGTAACAAACATAGTAGCCAACATAGAGAGATTTTGAATTTGTATCCTCAATATTTTCACTCAAAAGTAAACATCCTAAACATGATCTGCAGTCTTCGAGTCTTCAGCTATTTAAGCAGTCTAATTCTTGTCCATCAACTTCTTTTTCTAGTGAATAATACCTTGAACATCTACAGAATATTGGTTGTTGGGAAGAGTCTTAAATCTTAATCAATTTCTCAATGGAACAAAATATGCAGAATTTTCAAAGTTAGAACACACTCTATGGAATTGAAAAGCTATTCTTCTTTCATCTTTTTCTTCCACTAGTGTTTTCGGAGCTGGATAATATTCTTTCATCATTCAAATACCTTTTAAATTAAAAATTACATTTCTTAACAATTGAATGATGTATCCTTAATTTACTATAAATGACAAAAATACCCTTCCTCTCACTTCTTCCCCGTCCTCAAAACAGGACAAAATGGGTTTCTAATTTGCCATGTAAATTGGTGAACTTCGCTCTTCTAATCTACTTTCAAATATGTGACTACTTGATCTTGGCTTAAGAGGTAGAAAGTCATGATCGTGTCTTCAACCTCTCCTTTTGTGTAAAATGATGACTACAAGTCCACAAATTTGTATGCGATGTAAATGCCCCAGTTAATAAGATGTTTAGAGGTTCCCAGTCATTTCTACCTAGTTACATCAGGATGGGCCCCACTTTTATCTATTGGTAGTTTGTCATTTTGATCGCTTGAAAAATTGCTTGCTTTATTGTCTCTAGGATGTTTATTTTTGATGGATAAAAAGATCCCCATATTTGATCATGTAACTCCATGCCTAACAATATAGTCTACATACATCATTACTGCTACAATTCCTTGAGAAGACCTTGTATGTCAAATAAGAGTTCTGAGTTGTTGTGGAAGTGAACATATACCATGGATACACTACAATTTTCAAACTAATGTTCCTCATTTTAAAGTTCTGAGGGTTCCGTTTTTATCTCTAATGTTCCTCATTTTAAAGTGCTGTATTTTGTCTGCAACTATGTTGTTGGTTCTTACTAGGTAATCCTTAGGGAAGCGAACATATACCATGGATACACTACAATTTTCAAACCAATGTCCGAGTGTTCCATTTTTTGCTCTAATGTTCCCCATTTTAACCTGTAAACTGCCGTATTTTGTCTGCAACTATGTTGTTGGTTCTTACTATGTAATCCTTAGGGAAGATAGTTAAAATATAGCAGCAAAAAATGAAAGGAGGAGAAAAATAAAGTAAATAGATGACGAGAGCAAGCTATCAGTGAGAGAAAATGAGGAAGACGACGTTGAGAGAGAGAGAGAGAGAGAGAGAGAGAGAGAGAGAGGAGGTAGTAGTTACTTTAGGTCATCTTGACTTCCAACATCTCATATTTATATTGGTTATAGAAATTTAATTACTGTAAGAAGTCCTTAGAGACTTAAATAAAATATAATGACGGCTAAGCCTTCAATAATCACTCTCATGGTACTTTCCCTCAAGATGGTGCATAGATATCAATCATGCTCAACTTGCTTAAGATACCTTGTAGTTGATATTTGCCAACAACCTTTGTTAGAGTATCTGCTAGCTGATCATCTGTCTTCATATGAGGAAGACAAATTTTTCTGATAGCAATTCTTTCTCAAATAAAATGTCGGTCTACCTCCATATGTGTGGTCCGATCGTGCTAGACAAGATTGGGAGCTATACTAATGGCTGCCTTGTTATCACAATATTAGGACATTGATCCCTTCATAGGTAAACCAAGTTTCCATTATAAGATTTTTAATCACATCAATCACATGCATCATGAGCCATCGAACACAATGCTCTACCTCTGCACCTGACCGGCTACAACTGGCTGCTTCTTACTCCTCCAAATCACAAGGTTACCCCCAACTAGAGTGCAATAACCGATGTAGATCTATGATCCATAATATAGCCAGCCCAATCTGTGTCTGTCTAAGCCTCAAACTCATAAGTGCCCATGATTGGCAAACAATAATCCTCTACCTGGTGATGATTTTAAATATCGAAGACCTCTATAAGCAGTTTCAAGATGAGTAGTTCTAGGAGCACTCATGGACTAACTGTTCATGCTGATAGCATATGCAAATTCTTCGCGCATAAGTGAAAGATATTATCAATCTACCCACCAAACTTTGGAACATACCTACATCTGAAGTGCTTCACCCTATTTGTCATCGAGCTTGTTGATTTTGGTCCATAGGCATATGAACTGGTTTTGCCCCAAGTTTCCATGTTTCTTTGAGGAGGTCCGATACATACTTCCTTCAAGTAATAAAGATTCCTCTCTTACTTAGATTTGGCAGCTTCTATACCAGGAAAATATTTAATGGGCTAAGATCCATAATTTGTAATTCCCTTGCTAAAAACCTCTTAAGTTGTTGAATTTCTTTAAGACAATTCATGTTACAACAATATTATCCACATACACAATCAGGGCAGGGGTACTTATATTAGTATGTTTCATAAATAAAATATGATTAGCATGACGCCGAATATATCCAACTCTTTGGTGAGCACCATTAAACCTTTCAAAGCATACTTGGGAAGACTGCTTTAGTCCATAAATGGCCTTTACAATCTAACACTTTTCTTTGATTTCCAGGAGCCTTAATGAAAGTAGCGGCTATGTAGGATTCCCAGGGTGCAAATTAATTTTTTTTCTCTTTCTCCTTTATTAACGGGAGTAATTCTACCTACAATATCAAAAATTACATAGTGGAAGCAGAAAACAAAATCTACTACAAATTATGGATCTTAACTCTTACAGTCTTAAAGAAAAAACCTTTATTTCATAAACTAATTTAGTTACAAGTAGAATTCTACGTCAATAGGAGTCCTATTTCAAATAGGAATCCTAATACAAGTAGAAATCAAGAACAATAAATGAAGAATTAAGACTTAAAATAAACAAGAAAAGCTGGGAAGACATATCTGAAATTTGCCTAGGGTCACCCCTTAGGACTTAGCACAACCGACATTCGATTACCAGACTGATGATGCACTGATCCTTGGTCCTGCTTGATTCCTCCAATTGCGAGAAGCACCTATTCTGTGCCCTCACAAAAAACTGGGGCTGTGAGCATGGAACTGAAACCACTTGCCATCCTTTCAACTCAAAAACTAGAACCCAGAAGGCTGACTTGGCTGGGTATACCTCCTTTTTTGGCTAGCTTGGGTGGTCAATCGACCTTCTTTATGGCCCTACCTTAGGTAATGCGTCACCCTACCATCACAAAGAGAGAGTGAGGACTTGAGAGAGAGAGAGAGAGAGAGAGAGAGAGAGAGAGAGAGAGAGAGAGAGAGAGTAGTACGTACGACTAAGTAGTGTAGTAGTAGTAGGTACGGGTACGGTTACCGTTACCGTTATACGTACCGTCCGTACGGTACGGTACGGTACGTACTAACTACTAA